TATGAGAAAGTTGAATAGAATAAATGATCAGAAGAGTATCTGGGTTTTAACTCTGACATAAGCCACAAACCTCAACTTTCTTCCTAAAATAATAGTACTCTTATTACCATGAATAATCAAATCATGAAAGTGCTTTGTAAACTGTGAAATACTCTTTAGGTGTACTATCACATATTTAGCTGTTTTGCCTCACAGCTAAATAAGCTAAGCTTTGCTGCAGCTTAAAACTAAGGCTTCATTTGGCTCTACACATTTCAGACCTCTCCACTTAATGGATTTTGTTTTTTTAGGTCCAAAATCTGATTTGGTCATTATACTATAAATGTCTCTCGGGGCTAGTCTTGACAGCAGTCATGCTATTAAGTGATTGACATGTAAACCAGAACACTAAGCCACTAGTTTACATTAGGGAATACCCAGAGTGCCTCCCTTCCTAGAATCAGACACCCACCAAGCCAAAAGAGTCACCAGAAAAATATTGAGCATGGATTTATAGTAAACAGAGGGAAACTGCCTTGAGATATTTTTGACCTAATATTAAGTCTTATAAAAATATTTCTCATCACAATCAGGAGCCCCTCTCCTCCCCCCACCCCCAGTAAAAATCACTCATTTTCTCTAGGTGCAAGATCCTTCTTGCTGAAAGGTGCTGAATATACCGTCAGTTCTGCCTCTTCAGCTCACCATGGACTTGGGCTTTGTTTGTTGTCTATCAGCCTCTCATACACTCCTCCCAGTACATTGTGTTTAGCATAACACCATTTTGGCTACAATCCTTATTTTATCCGTGGGCTTATTTCATCTAAGATGTGTTTGTACATATGGTGATATCACTCATCATACGTTGATTTTTATTAGAAAACTCAATATTCTGCTAAGATTCACTAGTCCTCAGTGCCAAAGACCTCTCTGGAGAATGAGATCTACCCTGGCTCTCCTCCGAGCCTTCAGCACAATTGACTGTAATAATATATTTTACCCCAAATTTCTCACTCTTGGCTTCTATTATGTTCTTTCAAAAACACTTGGATGAATCACCTGGTCTCAGTAATTATTGGTTTCTCCCTGTTGACTAGGTCCCTAATGCCTCGTGTACTACTAGTTTTTGATTTACCACCCTCACAGTAAAGGCTATGACTGTGAGAGAATTTCTTCATCTTTCTTCTCATAAAGGCCAAAGCAAATACTGAGAATTTGCATAAATGAAGAAATCTGAGGACAAAGCAGCTATGGTATATTGGAAAAAAACATGGGACTTGGGACCTGAATGGGAAATGAATATATGTATGTGTGTGGTGGAAGGTGGAAGTGAAGGTAAGAACAAGTATTTCTTGAACAGTTATTACATTATGTACCTGCCTTCCCTTCCATCACGAAGTCTCCCCGTGTGATCAAGGCTCTAGGTTTGTGCTCTGCCACTTTTTCAATTGTACGGCCTTGAGTAAATTATAGATATCCTTGTTGATCAAGTCAGGGTAATACATACCTCAGCATTTTTGTGAAGAACTACATACTCTTAAATACCGTGAAGAGAGTATTTAAGCATTTACTGTACAGCCAAGCAGTGTACCAAAGTATTATCATAATGGATCATACATTTCCAACTCATTATAGGAAGATGTGAGAAAAGGGAAAGTTCACTGTGGCCTATAAGAGTTCAGAGAAGCTTTACCAGAAGTAGAATTTGGGGTAGGTCTTTACAGCGTGCACTTGACTTGTCTGGGAGTGGGAATATTCAGGAAACCAGTGCAGCATAAGCAAAGGTGTTGGAGGCAGTGGTGAGTACAGGTTTTCGGCATCGCTATACTAGGTCACAGAATAGATGAAAGGCCTATGTTTAAAGTGGTAGAAGTGTAGCAACAGATGGAAAAAGACAAATCTGAAAGACTCTGTTTATGAAAAACTGGCCAGACTGGGTTAAGTGGTTCAACAGTGATAATAATAGAGGAGGAAGGGAAGACATTTCTAAAAGTCTGAGCCCAGAGCATGACAGAAGGAAATGGAGGGTGTCACTGACAGAGATGGGTGAACCTGGAAGGGGCAACAGTGGGGAAGACAATAAGTACAGTCATATGTGGGCTGAGTTTAGTTAACAGGTATGAAAGGCCTCTAGCTGTCACTCTAGCTGAAAGGCAGAGGGCATTTCCTCCTCACATTATAAAATTTTAGTCTGTGCCACTTCAGTTTACACTGGGGACAAGAAAAAAACCAAATGCCATTAAAAGAAGCTCAGAATACAGGGATCCCTGGGTGGCTCAGCGGTTTCGCGCCTGCCTTTGGCCCAGGGTGCGATCCTGGAGTCCAGGGATCCAGTCCTGCGTCGGGTTTCTGGCATGGAGCCTGCTTCTCCTTCTGCCTGTGTCTCTGCCTCTCTCTATGTCTATCATAAATAAATAAAAATAAATCTTTAAAAAAAGATTGTTGGTGTTAAAAAAACAGGTAATCTCTGATATGTTGTATGTCTAGCCAGGTGGGACATAAATTAAAAAAAAAAAAAAAGGCAGCAGCAGCTCATAATACTAGAGAGGACCTGTTGCTGGGTTCCTCTGAGGGACCAAGTGGGCACTGATCTCCAACCTAGAACCATTTATCACTGGTGAATTCAGGAATAATTTTCTAACTTTTCCCTTGCTTAAAGCAAATTCTTTATTTCAAACAGGATCAAGTATATAATAACTGGCCATTTTATTTGACACAGGAGAGCTATAAAATCCTTATATTCATTAAGCTTTGTTCTAGCCTAGTAACTATGTTACAATGGGCTGTCGATTTACATAGAGACAGAGCCTAAATTTCAAGTTCCTGAAACTCTCTGAGTAGCATTTCCTTATCTGTGAGGGAAGAAGCTTGCCCTACCTGACCCATCCTCTCCTCCAAAATCCTGACAGAGAAACTGTACTTTGAAGATTTCAGTTCCAACTCTTACCACCAGATGTCACCATGCTACTTAGAAATAGGTAACTTGAGAGAGAGAATCATGAATAGGGGATCCCTGGGTGGCGCAGCGGTTTAGCGCCTGCCTTTGGCCCAGGGCGCGATCCTGGAGACCCGGGATCGAATCCCACGTCGGGCTCCCGGTGCATGGAGCCTGCTTCTCCCTCTGCCTATGTCTCTGCCTCTCTCTCTCACTGTGTGCCTATCATAAATAAATTAAATAAAATAAAAATTAAAAAAAAAATGAATAAACAAAAAACCTCTACTTATTCCAATTAATTAAATAAATATTTATTGAACACTTAAATTGCCCAGACCAATTGCTTTGGATTGCCAAGCCCAGGTGCTTTGGATGAAAAAGACCATCATGCCCTCAAAGAGACTAGAGGAGACATGGAAGCAATCACACATCAATGCCCTTAAAACATACAACATAAAGCCAAGAAATCAAATGCTCAGTGAAAAATCAACATACCATCTCTTTAAGGTACAGCATCACTTCCAGGAATACTTTCTCTGACTCCAACCCTGGGGTTAGGTCCCCCAGCTGGAAGTTACTGGTGCAACCTATGCCTAGTATTCATCATGCTCTTTGTAATCATTTAATGGCGCCTACCTTGCTAGACTGTCATTTGTGAGGGCAGGGCCCATGCATCCACCCTGTTGTTTTCCCAAGCTTACCACAGTACTAAGGGTAGTAGCAGTCATTTGCTGAATTTACTTATGCATCAGGTGCTATGCTAGACTGCTTATAGTCACCACTGCATTTAATCTTCCCAATGACCCTAGGCCACTGATACTGTCCCCATCTTACAGATGAGGGACCCATGGCTACCTGGCTAGGAGGTGGCAGAACCATGAACCCAGAACTGATTCAGTAACATGTACTATCACATCAACCTGAGCCACTTTTAAGAACTTCCATTATTTTTTTTTGTTTGTTTTTTTAATATTTATTTATGATAGTCACAGAGAGAAAGAGAGAGAGAGGCAGAGACACAGGCAGAGGGAGAAGCAGGCCCCATGCACCGGGAGCCTGATGTGGGATTCGATCCCGGGTCTCCAGGATCGCGCCCTGGGCCAAAGGCAGGCGCCAAACCGCTGCGCCACCCAGGGATCCCAGAACTTCCATTATTTGATGCCAACCTGTTTATCCAGCTAACTTACCACTCTTTTCCTTGGATAAGCAACCCCACCCTTAATTACATAATGCTCACTACCCTTTCAACACTTCACTCCTGTTTGCCCTGTCCTCTGGCATTGGCCTAGATCAATTTCTTTCAAATGATTAGTTTAATAAAATCAATAAGGTACTCATCTATTAGAACAATTTTCTGAAATTCGTTCTCAAATTTGTTCTTCTACAGAAGGTTTATCCTTCATGAAACAAGGGTTAGAATTGCCTACCAAAACCTCCTATGAGGGCTATTAGAACCTGAAAAAATAGTTCCTAGTAACAGCTTTTACTTTTAAAGCACTTTTCAGACTCATATAATGACCTATAAACTTTATAGGACTGTAGAAATTACCTAGCTCAAACTTCTCATTTTATAGCTAAGACTGAGAGAACTCTGATTTGATCCAAGGTTTAGTCGGAGAGTCAAGACCATGCCGTAACCTCTTGCCTAATTGTATTAATGTATGAAAACTGCTGCCACTCTAGCATTAACTTCACAAAGGCCAACATTTCTAGTACCTGTAGGCATCTACCACTTGACTGCCCAGATTCCAGTACCAAACCTGCCACCCTTTCTAGCTCTGAGACCCTGGGTTAGATATTTACACTGTTTATGCCTCAGTCTCCTCCTCTGTTAAATAAGGATCATAATTCTTACCTCTTAGGATTGTTAGGAAATCTGATATTATAAATGAAAAGCACTTAGAACAGTGTGTGGCATACAGTAAATACTCAATAAACATTAACCATTGTTCCTACTTGATAAATATTCTTTCACCGTCGTTCCTACTAAAAATACAAAACATTCTCTCTTTTCTTGGAACTTAATCCTTGTGTTACACTTTGAGGAATGATTTATTTTTTCCAAACTGAAATAAATACAAGGCAATTGATGTGTTCACTTACTTTACTAACACTACATTTACCATGTTATCTCCATGGAATGTAAATTCAGGTTAGACGAGAAAATTTCATGTATAATAAAGCATTCTGGAGTATGCCAAAGTTTGTGTATAAATGTCTGACCAAACCACCTTGCTGATAAATCATTAATCACTTCACATATAGGTAATTTGTTAACATTTATGATTCTTACAGAGAAAATAAACAAAAATAAACAAACTTCAAACATTTAAAAAGTATTTTTCATTTACCTTTGCATTAGTTCTTAAAATACACATTTCAATTTCAAGATGACATTTAAAAATTCTAATACAACAGCAGCATAAATATAACTCTGCAATTACAAAAAAAGCTAAACTGGGATCCACAGTTAAGTTATTCTCATGTTTACAAGTATTATTCTGAAATAAATACTACTTCTAAGCAGCTGTTATCGGCTTTTTGGGTTTGGTTTAAATACACATATTTTCAGTTGTGGGGAAGCTTATATTCTTTGCACTGTTCTGAAAGGATTAGAGCCCTAAAAACTGAAGTACTCAGTCTGCAAAACAGGCAGAAAAAAGTTAAATAGGATTCCTATATAACATCAAAAGCATGTGATATTCTGCAGCAATTGGGAGTACTTCAGAATTGGCAAACTGTCCTCTTTACAACTAATTTTAACAGAAGAGTTTAAGAAGGAGCATATTTTATCACTACATTTAAAAGTGACATGTTTCTTTTGTGCTAATTTGACTCCCATGAATGACCTAGCTAGTTAAATGGTCACAAGTAATTTGGTTACCAGGCAAATCAAACCTGCAAGAAAAAAATCCAATATTTAAATTACCATATTATTGTCTGACCCATTCAAATGATTTATTTTCAACATAAACATAAAAACTCACTATGAGATGCCTAACTAAAAAGCAAGCACCACCAACAAAACCAAGACAGCTTCTCTTCTTCTAAGGTTTAGGCTTTGCCCAGAATTCTTTATACATGGAATAGCCCATACCTAAAGAAAAAAGAAATATTAGTTAAGCATTTAAATATTTCCCACAATATTAAGGAGATTAAAAACAGTTCATAAGACAGTTAAAAGCAGCACCTTACTAACATGAAATATTTACAAGGTGAAGATGACCCAAGGCTGCTTATTCTTGCCTTCTTATTCAAATTTCTGAAATTCTTTTTACATGGGTTCCTAACTAGCTCAAGGCTAGTATGACTAGTTCAGACTACTGAAATATTTGTTTTAAAGAACAATAAGTACTTATCTTACAACTTTAAAAGGAGTCACTCTTGACTTTATTTGGTATTATTTGATATTACATAGCAACAAAATATAAAGCCAATAAAAGAATGTAATACCTACATTAAAAAAATCTTTTCAGGGGTGCCTGCGTGGCTCAGTTGGTTAAGCATCTGACTCTTGATTTTGGCTGTCATTATCTCAGGGCTGTGAGATCAAGCCCCATGTTGGGCTCCACACTGAGCATGGAGTCTGCTTAAGATTCTCTCTCCCTCTCTCCCTGTCCCACCCCTTTGGGCTCTTTAAAACCCAAACTTTTCCACTTTCAAAAATTCAGTAAAACAGCAACCAACCATATGTCTCCCAGATAATGAATCTTACTACCAACCCTATTTACATAACTGGACTCCAGTGAAATTATAAACTCTGTGATGAACAGAATTGCCTTTTCTTTCTTTAAAACTACTAGGATATATCACAGACTAAAACTATGTTACTATTTGAACTATTTTTATTAATGCAATTTTTATGTGAGAATAAATGTGACATTACAAACTACTTCAAAGTCAGCTAAAAGAATCTACTTGTTTATTTACAAAGAAATCTATTAATGGGAATTACAAACTTGAAAGTTTCCTGCAAAAACCTACCAAGAGTCATTGCTCCCACAACAAAGCCTTGGGCTGCCACACGCATGTGGATCAGGTGAACAGACATTTTAGTATTTCCCCTGCTCTTTAATTTATATAATCCATATGCGACGATTGCTGCAAACCCCGCCATTCCTGTAAAACAAATCGTCACGTATGTCATATGCATGGGGTCGGAGAACCAAAATGACTTTACTATCAATGTACTTTCTACTATTTTTATAAGGATGTTTTATAAGACTATTAATCAACTAACATACAAATTGAGTCTTTAGTTTTCTCCCTCAAAACCAAAAAACCATAATCAGCAGCAAACAGTAGCAGATTCGGAACGTTAAGATCATCTTCAAAATGTGGGCTGTGGGGCCTGTAGGTGCTTTAAGAGTGCCAAAGGAATGGTTCCTCTAAGTCCTACTTCCTTCCCTGAAGGGAATCAGTTAATATAGCACAGACTGTAATAAACCCTGTGAGTGTAAGCTTTTTTTGAGTCTTTTGAGTCCTTCTAGCAAATCATTGAGACTGAGGGTGGTTGAGATCACACACATTTAATGAAATAAGAGTCAATAAAAGAAGGGTGAACACACACAGAAATTTGTAAAAAGAGGTATATCTAGCCAATCTCAGATATTTCAAGAATATATGAAGACACTAAAACAAATGCTTTCAGGATGCGGCTGATGAACGAGTTGACACCACTTCTCCTGTATTAAAACTTACAACAGACTCATTAGAATATTAAAGTCAAACTTACCAATGGGAACAAATGGTGCCTCTCTAGCTTTTCGGATAAGTTTAGATCCCTGATCTTCATCATATGAAGAAAGAGAAACATCTGTGCCAGTTGACATTGTGACTGAAGAATCCTCCTGAAAGAGAATTTCCAGGAGGTTCTGCTATTAGAAACATCTAGAACACTAAATAGCTGGATGTAATTATTATTTTTTTTAAAGATTTTTTTATTATTTATTTAAATACACAGAGAGGAGAGAGAGAGAGAGAGGCAGAGACACAGGCAGAGGGAGAAGCAGACTCCATGCAGGGAGCCTGATGTGGGACTTGATCCCCGGTCTCCAGGATCACACCCTGGGCTGAAGGCAGCACTAAACCGCTGAGCCACCTGGGCTGCCCAGCTGGATGTAATTAAAACATTCTGGTTTCCACATAAAAATCTGGTAGGTTATCCTTGAAGTTTAAAAAGAATTTTTTAGAAACTAAATGTATTTTTAACGTGCAACTACCTTTAGGAAGAGTTGTATTTATCCCTATTGTTTTGATGTTTATCCCATACAACCAATTCCTATTTGTTTATGTTTAAGTAGGCTTCACACCCAGCATGGACCCCAGTGTGGGGCTTGAACTCACAATCCTGAGATCAAGATCTGAGCTGACATCAAGAGTCATATGCTTAATAGAGTGAGCTACTGGGGGAACCCCAATCAATTCCTTTTTAACACCACATCACTGATAACAGGGAAAGTTTGTTTTTTTTTTAATTGAAATAACTTTTGTCAATTAAAATAGTAACCATTGATATTCTGGCTATTTTCACCCTAAATTCAACTTAACATCTTCACTCAAACCAAACTAAATACTCCTTACTGTCTCTTCAAACCATGCTGAATATCCTAAATGCTTCTAAGTGTAGTTTTTATTGGTTACAAACGAGACTGACTCCAACATGGCATCTGGCTTCCATTCTGACCTCTGATATGGTTCCTAACCTATTACACTAATCTCTATTATTGATGGTGGTTGTTTTGGGGAAAAGATTATAGCCTTTCTAAACAACCAAAACTTCTACTTAGCTCATTATTTACTTCTTCTCTCTCTCTTTTTTAAAGATTTTATTTATTTATTCATAGACACAGAGAGAGAGGCAGAGACACAGAGAGAGAAGCAGGCTCCATGCAGGGAGCCTGATGTGGGACTCGATCCTGGGTCTCCAGGATCACACCCCAGGCTGCAGGTGGTGCCAAACTGCTGCGCCACCGGGGCTGCCCTCATTATTTACTTCTTTTAAGGACAAAGCTTTTATATTAAATACTATTGCTAGAAACGCCTCTTTTTAAGTATAATATTCAATTGAACATAATATAGCCTTTTAATTTTTTTTTTACTTAGGGTTACTATTTTTAACATCACTGCAGCAAAAGAAAGGAAAAGAAGAAAAGAAAAGAAAAGAAAAGAAAAGAAAAGAAAGGAAAAGAGAACGACCCTGAGGATCTTCTTAATGAATGAATACCTCCTAAATTTCAGCTCTCCTTTCCTTTACATACACTGTATTCCCTGGGCCTCCCTCTTAAAATTATCTACCTTCTTTTATATTACTCCTTTAAGCAGTACCAAAAAAAGGCAATATATTAGCCTGATCATTATATGGATAAGGGGGCAGGAAAAAAAAAAAAAGATTCATTTCCATGACCATAGAGACCAAAAAAGGCTCCATTCTCCTTTTACATAGGAAGCTATTTAATAGGTGTTTCATAATAACAAGAAAACAAATTCAGTTTCACCTTGGTCGCAATAAATATGTATATACTTCCTTCTTCACTGAGCTGATTTAAACTGCCTGTAAACGTTACCCACAGATAAAAGGGAGTCAAGCATAGTATGTTAAGGGTACAAGTCTGATTAGTGTTAGTTACAATAAACTCAAAAGTCAACTGCCCATCCCACTACCCACATAACATCTTACCTTCACTTCTGGGTTTTTCATGTACATCATGCATCATACTGCCTTCAATAAAAACTCTCATTCAACACTTTGCTATTCCAGGGTTTTAAGTAGAGGTAGGACCCTCAAAGAAAATCCAACTCTAAGGGAGGCATAGTGCTGAGTCTGAAAAGTGAAATCATCCTTCCAAGCCCCCATCCCTATTGGGAAGAATACCACTGATCTGAAAAGGAAACCTTAAACCAGGGGAGTTGTACAGCATCACACATCTAAAGTAAGAGGAAACTCTAACTAGAACTAGTCTTTCTCTTTTTTAAAAAAATATTTATTTATTTATTATTTATGATAGACATACAGAGAGAGGCAGAGACACAGGAGGAGGGAGAAGCAGGCTCCATGCTGGGAGCCCGACGCGGGACTAGATCCTGGGACTCCAGGATCACGCCCTGGGCCTCACGCCAAACCACTGAGCCACCCAGGGATCCCCCCCTTTCTCTTTTTTTGTACTGATACCTGCTAACTGACTAAAGCCCTACTTGCTGAGCTTTTATCATATATAAGGGTTAGCAAGTTCTAGGTTTAAAACACTATGTATGTGAGGAGTTAGAACAAAAAAAAAAAAAAACACTGAAATAATGTGATGTTAAACATTAGATATATTTTTTTAAAGGGACAGGATAGAGTATGATTACTTGCAAGAGCATAACAGAGAATGAAGAACTGAATTCAGGGTGTGGTTCTTTTAGCTAAAGTAGGTTTGGGAACTTTCACAAAGAAATATTTAAGACTGGCCCTCAAGAAAGAAGAGATTGGACTAGATGGAGAGATTAAACATTATATTTTAGGCTAGTGTATGCTTATTTGTTGCTTTCAAAACTAACCATTAGTTTCCGAAGGTCATAACAGTTTATAACAACTCCTCCTTCCACCTTTCTTGCCAATGAACCCCACAATCAAATCATATTAAATTTCTTAAAAATGGGGGATCCCCGGGTGGCTCAGCCTTCGGCCCAGGGTGTGGTCCTGGAGACCTGGGATAGAGTCCCACATCAAGCTCCTGCATGGAGCCTGCTTCTCTCTCTGCCTGTGTCTCTGCCTCTCTCTGTGTCTGTCATGAATAAATAAATAAAATATTAAAAAATAATAATAAAGTTCTAAAAAAGGTTCTCTATACTCCAGTGCCTCTGCACAATCTGATTTCTCTGCCTAACACTGTTGCTCCCTTTTCTTCATCTCCTTCAGATATTCTTTTTCCTAGCTAACTCCTCCCATTTTTCAGGTTCTTACCTTAACTGACTTCCACTTGAAGTCTCCCTGGACTTTCTAAGTTTATGATCATTGCTGTGACTATGCAGTCCTATAGGATCCCATGCTTTCCCTAAAAAAACTCTTATAAAACCTGCTAAACTGTTTGTCTTGATAGAATCCTTGAAGCAAGCAGGCCATACCTGCCCTGCTTGTATCTATCTCCACTACCTGCCATGATGCTTTGCATGTAGTAAGCATACCACAGAATATTTGAATAAATTTAAAAATAATATATTTCAACAATTAAAATTATTCTCAGTTAATTCATTTAGTAAGATTTAGTGAAAACAGTAACAAGTATACACATTTGTAGAGTTTAAGTGTTCAGTAAGAAAAATGCCAAACTAGATGTCCCTAAGTGCTTATTTAATTCTATTCATAAAAGAAGAAATGATAACTTGAGCAGGTCGTGGTTCCTTGCAGCCACAAGAGACAAAACTATTATATAACATAATCCACTTTTCAAAACTAGCACCTTTTGTAGATATATGCATTCTTTCTTTCTTTGCTTAATCATTCCTAAACTAAGAAGTTATTTGGGAATTATCTGGATCAGTATAACTGTTCAACAGGTCAACAGAATTTTTTTTCCTCCCTCCTGCAGGAAGGTGGGGATGGCAGTCTCTCTCCTATATATAAAAGAAAATCCACTCATCTCCATTCCTCACCTATGATACAGACAGAAGTTTGTACGGGTAGGATATTTGATCTGGTTTTCTGATCAGAGTAAGAATAAGGGTGTGGGGAAACCATGTGGTCATTATTTGCTTTCAGTGATTAATGATAACCTGTCTCTGATTGAGACCATCTTATGGCACATTTGAAGATAAAATTAATAAAGAGGAATATAAAAAGTCCAACACACACCATAGATTATACTAGACTTCAAATTATATTTTTATACCATCTCATGAATTCTAATATACCATATATTCCTAACACTCCTTGCACATAAGATTTGGTAATTCTCTAATTACCAGCTGAAAGTTTCCCAAGTATTTATGATTTACAGCCACACCAGTTGAAAACGGCTAACTTTTAAAGTATCAGGATCAATAACTATGAATCATATAATTTGAGAATAACAACCCAGATGATTAATCCATGCCAACAGCCTAATTTTACAGATGGAAAAAGGGTTATGAAGGGTTATATGAACTGCTCAACCAGAGAGGGGAGGATTAGAACTCAGATCTCCCCAAACAGTCCAGAGTTCTTTTGATTGACAATATATTGCCAAGCATCAATCTTAGAATGCTGGTAAAAATATTTGATCTGAGAAATATTAAAATCTATTCCTTAACAGAAATTTTTTTCTGCATTTTTTTCTTCGAATTGTAAAAAAAAAGATGCAAATCATTCCTAAAATTAAATGAAACTTTCTTCTCCAGTGACTTAACTCATCCACCAATTTCAACTGTGCTTTGAAATAGATCTTTTTTCACTAGCACCACTTCCAGATTTTCCTTTAATTTTCTCATCCACCCATAGCAATTGACCTAGATCTCTGTCAAATAGTTGAACAGGTACAAAAAGGGGCACCAACGACCGGATGATATTCAAAGCCAGTTTGAAAATACTAATTATTCTCTAAACTTAGTAAGATACCACTGCAGACCTTTCCAAATGCGTGGGAACCTAGAAATGACATCAGCGAAGATGAGCTGCCCAGCTTGAGGGGCTGTAACGGACTGACTGAAGGATCTTCACACCCTGTCATTTTGGTCACAGGAACAACAAGGGCTTCAAGTTTTGATTTTCCATCAGTTACCTGTCAGCTGGTTTAAAAGGACTAAAAGGCCTCAGTCTGGAGATTCCGATTCAGAGGGTTTCGGGCAGGGCCCGAGGAATCTGTATTTTAAGAAGCCCCCTTCAACTGACTCTGGGACACAAGGAAGTTAAGAGATTCCCCGATACAGAGTATTCAAATACATGTGTCATGCTGGGGCCTGGTGCCACTTCAATTGTCTGGACTTTTCAATCCAAACCGGTTAAACTCGAAAGCGCCTGGGTACTTCTGGAAGCCTGAGTCGTGAGGTGGGGGATTACCCCCGAGCCGGAACTAGCTGCTGCCCACACTCGTGATAAGAGTGAAAAGCGAGCAGCACTGTCGAAATTATTTCAGCTGCTCCCAAATTCTAGACCCGCGCTTTGCTTTCTAACCCTCACCGGCGGGTCTAGCTTTCAGGAAGAAATGTAAATCCCGTCACGGTTGCCCTATACAGGGCCCGAGGCCTTCTTACCTTCCCAGGGTAGGAGGGGGTCGACCAGGGTGGGAGGAACCACGGGGCCGTGGAGAAGTTACAAGGCCGTGCGGTTTCACGCCCTCAGCCTTTCGAACCTCTTGCCCTCTCTGCTCCTGTGACCTTGTCGGGACTCCACCGCCGGAGCGCTCGCGCCCCCCCCCCCATCCTTCCTCACCCACCGCGCGGGCCCGCTCTCCGGGAGGCTCCCTGCTCCGGGGCTCCGGGTACTTTCCGCGCGACCTGCTGCCTGAGGTCGGCCCCAACCCCCTCCGCGGGTCTTCCCTCTCCTCGGCCACGACTCATCCACGAGCCTTTGCTTCATCCCCTCAGCCGACAGGCCATTAGGCCTGGTCTCTGGACCGCCCCCACTCCCCCACCTCCATCCGGCAACTTTCCCTCAACCTCGAGGTCGGGCCGAGACCCGCCAAGCCCACCTCGCCCCGCTTCAACTCGGGCATCGCTCCCCTCCTCCCAGTCCCGCGGCCCCCACCGCTCCCAAGGCCCTCTCGGCCCAACCAAGCGCGACCCCTCTTCTTCCCGCCTCACCGTCGGGCGTCCTCGGCTCCCAAGACTCCCTCACGCTTCTCTCACCAAAGACAACGCTCTGCCCAAACTCCAACCGGCTTCTGGCTCTCACCCACGCCCGCAGTGCAGCCGGCTTCTCCTCGTCCCGCCCACACCCGGCACCAGCCAATCACAGGCCAGCAGTTGGCTGGCGAGGGTCCCGGGGGGTGCGTGCGTGTGCGCGGTGGGTGGGGCGGGGCGGGATTGACTGGAGCGACGCCCGCTGCCGGCTTCTCCTCGTCCCGCCCACACCCGGCACCAGCCAATCACAGGCCAGCAGTTGGCTGGCGAGGGTCCCGGGGGGCGCGTGCGTGTGCGCGGTGGGTGGGGCGGGGCGGGATTGACTGGAGCGACGCCCGCTGCCGGCTTCTCCTCGTCCCGCCCACACCCGGCACCAGCCAGTCGCGGGCCGGCGAGTGGCTGGCGAGGGCCCTGGTGGGTGGGTGCGTGCGTGCGTGTGCGTGGTGGTGGCTCCGGCTTCCCGGCCCTCGCGTGGTGATGGCGTCACGGTGAGGGTTCACTGTCCGCGGTTCTGCGGCGCCCCTGGCTCCGAGCCCGGCGGAACCTCAGATTTCTCTCGCCCTTTCTCCCTCGTGCAGCGACGGCGAGCACCGTGAACGCTGCGTTCCGAGCGCGGGTGGGGCGGGGCCGGCCCTGAGGGGTTTCGGCCGCCGCCAGTCCTAGGGAGGCTCGCGGGAGGGCGTTTCTGCATTCTGGGGCGCCGGCGGCGGCGGGGCGACGGAGCGCTGGTTGCGTTCCGCGACCCTGGTGGCTCTGTGCTGCCACGAAGGTGTGCGGTCGGGCCTCTCGTGGAAACTTTCTTGGCGCTTAACCTGTGGTGGGGGCAGCCACTGGTTGCAAGCATGGGGTCGCTGGAGCGGTGACCTCACCCAGAATGGGGGAGGTTTCTCTGAGGGAACAAGTGTCAGCGGCCCCTGGTGACGGGGAACTTCCGGGGACAGAGCCTTTAGCTTGTTCGTCTGATGCAAAGCATCAACGACTGTGCCATAGGGAATAGGTCTGAGTTAGAATCCCTTAATAGAACCGCGAAATGCGGCTGATTGCCAGTGCTGTGTCACACAGGTAGGAACTAAGTGCCCTGGGCCCCGGATTTTCAAAATAATCTGTCACATAATTGACTTAAGACACATGTAGGAAACATTCATGCTGTGGCTGATGAATTAAAAACCCCATACCTTAAATATCAGAAAGGGAGACAGAACATAAAGACTCCTAACTCTGGGAAACGAACTAGGGGTGGTGGAGGGGGAGGAGGGCGGGGGGTGGGGGTGACTGGGTGACGGGCACTGAGGGGGGCGCTTGACGGGATGAGCACTGGGTGTTATTCTGTATGTTGGTAAATTGAACACCAATTAAAATTAATTTATTATAAAAAACCCCATACCTTTATTATATTTGTGCTTTTCAGCTGCTTGAAGAAGGCACCTATTTTTTCGGTTCATTGCCAGTGATGTTAAATGAAGAAAAGCATAACGGATGCAGTAATCGGAGGGCTGCAAAAATAAGGAGGGATAATCAGGGACTTATAAGACGACAAAAGAGCCTAAGAGACCTGAATAGGAAGGCAAGTCATTAACTCCTGTGATTCTGGAAATACAAAGGCTAACAGCCGCAGTGAGCAGTGGGCGTATTCGTTCCTGAAGGGGGTTTGTACACATCAAAATAATGTTAGATAATTTGATTTCCAGAGAATGAGATTCGAGATCAGGGAAACTTGAGTGTTGTAAGCCCCAGGCTGGCCACCTAGTTGTCATGACGAGGGCTTCTTTCTCAAAACCCACTAAGATGGGGGTAACAGTGGTGCTGGTTAATGAGGAATGCACATAGTGTTTAGCGTGATGCCTGCGGTGAAGAGTGTGAACTTTTGCTTTAAAAACTCCTGTGCTTTATAATTGTGCTTCTGAATTGGCTTTCTGACATCGAAAGGGAATAAAGGGGAAAGGAGAGAAAATGAGTGAAAATATCAGAGAGGGTGACAGAACATGAGAGACACCTAACTCTGGGAAAGAACAAGGGGTAGTGGAAGGGGAGGTAGGCGGGCTGACGGGGTGACTGGGTGACAGGCCCTGAGGGGGGCACTTGACGGGATGAGCACTGGGTGTTATGCTATATGTTGGCAAATCAAACTGCAGTAAAAAAAAATTCCTGGGCTGTGAATTGTATGGGAGGAAGCAGACACTTCCTTATTTGTGTGAGAAATTATCTCTGTCTAATCGGTATATAGAAACCAAGATCTTGGTAAGTGATAAATATCTCAATCAGATAATGTAGATTTTTTTATAGAAATTATTCTGCTATACTTGATTCCATATTGTGTTATAAGAAAACAACAGAGACTACAGACAAACCATTACATCTTTCATAGCGCAGACATAATCGGTGACAAATGTACATCATGTACATTTCATTCTTATTTTGTCATTTAGAAGTATAATGCAGAAGATGTTAAAACATTATTTGGGTTCTCATGTATTAAATGAACCCACTTGTAGTTTATAAAAGGAAAGAGCACAAGAAGCATCTGCCTGTTTTGCTAATTTCCCCTCTCTTAGAGAGCCTTTGTAACTTCTCAGGTTGCACTAGCAGTCTTCACGTGACCTTATCTTCTATAAAAGAAATGGGCTTCTAAACTCGGATGTCTCCTTAGACTGAGGCCCAGCTTAAAGCTACGTTACCTCGTTTTCTGTTGCGTGTGTTTTTTTTTAATATCTTTCTTAAAACTACTTTGTGATCTTTGTGAAATTTTGTCTAAACCAAATGTTAAACCTTTGGAGCAAATTGGTAATATCTGCAGATATTTTTAAAACTAGAGTTTGAAGTCCCCTCCAGCAATTACTGGACATGTATGTTGTGGTGGATACTGCACTGGATTCGGAAGCTAAAGACTTAGTTGCTTCTCTGAGTCGATTTTTAGGTAGAAAGAACAAGTATAGAAAAACGTGGAAGACGGTTTATGATAAGTGCTTTGAATATAGCTTCGGCTAGATCCCATAGTGAGTGAGCAGTTTCAGAGAAGACTTCTTGGGACTGGGGCTTGACTGAGTGGCCTTTGAAGAATGACTAGCATGTAAATAAATTGAGAGACTATTCCAGAAAGAAGAAACAGTGGGCAGAGGAATAGCAGTAGACTATGGGATTGTAGCTCTAGTATGGACAGTGAGTGGGGGAAAGGCCAAAACAGAACCGTGACAAAAGCAGAGTCAGAATAATGGGAAATAGGTTGAAGCTACTTGGGGGAGGAATTTTAATACTAATTGAATTTGTGCAATGTTCTATCAGGTGGCCCTTGAAGGTTTTGGAGCAGGATGTTGACTGGCAAGAACAATATATTTGAGGTAGTTTGTAGTGAAGTAGAATGGATTAGAAAGTGAATAGCAGTATTACTCAGCCAGAAAATTAAAAACTACTCAGTATGTAGCTCGTATTATTTCTATTGAGTCCATATCCTTGGGTACAGAAGGCTGCTACGTCATCTCTCTACCTCCTTGACAAGGACCGCTGCTTTGAAGCAATAGTCCTTACAAAGCAGTTGCCAAGGGATCCCTGGGTGGCACAGTGGTTTGGTGCCTGCCTTTGGCCCAGGGCCCGATCCTGGAGACCCGGGATCGAATCCCACGTTGCGCTCCCGGTGCAAGGAGCCTGCTTCTCCCTCTGCCTGTGTCTCTGCCTCTCTCTCTCTCTCTCTTTCTCTCTCTCTCTGTGTGACTATCATAAATAAATAAAAATTTAAATAAAAAAAAAAAGCAGTTGCCAAGAAGAACTGTTGAGGCCCAGACCATCATACAATTCCATGTTAGAGGACTGCCATGCAGGGCTACTCATAATATGCTGTAGTTTTGTACCTTTTACATTTTGCAGAGTCATGGAATAGTACTTAAACTATTTGTTTTAAGCAAAAACAAACTTCCCAGGCACATGAATAGCATGTTTTAAAGTTTTATTTAAAACTAGCCTGCAAGATAGAAGCTTTTAAGCAAGCAAAAGATTCTCCTGTGGCAAAAAAAAAAAAAAAAAAAAAAAAATTGGGTCCCTCCCTGGACTGCTTATGTAAGTCTGTCAAGGTGTTTTATAAGTAATGCTATTTTCTTCCCCAGAAGAAGCAGCTGTTGATCCTATCAGACTACCATGTTCTTCTTGGGTGTGACAGTTTCTCTTTTTCACAACTTATATTTCAGAACATTAAATTTGAGGTATCTCATCCATCAGTAGTTCTAAAATGCAGTCTCAAAACTCTCCAGTAGGAGGAAAGTCACAGCCACCTTTTAAATCTTATGAGAGGCAGTATGATAGTATTTAAGACTGCAGACTCTGGAGTTTGCTTTACTGCTTACCGCTCTGTGATATTACTTAATCATGTGATATTACTTAACCAGTTACTTAATCATTCTGTGCCTCAGTTTCTTCGTTTGTACAATAATAGGACCTACATAATAGGGCTCTTGGGAAGCTTTAAATGATATGTAAAGCCCCAACATTGCCTATATAGTAAGTGCTATATATATTATGACATTTCTGGCTTTGTTTATGTGTGTGTGAATTTCTGTCTGTTCTGCTTAGCTAAGCTATACACACAACTGATAGTTTCACTTGTGTGTATGTGTTTGCATGGTTTGCATTTTTAATTTTTATTATTTTTTTTAAAAAAGATTATTTATTTATTTATTCATGAGAGACACAGAGGGAGAGCCAGAGGGAGAAGCAGGCTCCATGCAGGGAGCCTGATGCAGAACTCGATCCCGGGACTCCAGGATCACGCCCTGGGTGGAAGGCAGGTGCTAAACCGCTGAGCCACCCAGGGGTCCCCAGTTTGCATTTTTTAAAGTCTTTTAGTTACAGAGGACCTGCATATAAATAATAAAGATGCTCAAGCCGGACTTTAGCAGAGAAGAAGCAAGGAACTATTAGGCACTTTTCATCTCTTCAGTTGACACTTTCTCTTTTATATGATTGGTTTCGTTCAACTATGTAAAATATTTTTCCTGTTAGTAATCAATAAGGCAGTAGGATTTGTGTGTTTACATAGTAATATTTTCTGTAGTGACCAAACATACTATGTTTTAAACATTTTAGTCTTGAATTGGTTTTTC